GACGCCTTCCTGCTGGATTGGATGGGCAAAGTGCTCTGGGCATTCCCGCCGTTACCACTCATTCCCCGTGTCCTTTCACAGCTGTCCACCCAGCCAGCTCGGCTGCTTGTGCTACTGGCACCGCTTTGGCCGTCACAGAGCTGGTTTCCGGTAATTCTCAGCCTCCTGTTCTATTACCTTTACGCCCGGACATTCTCACTCAGAACGGAACGCCCCACCCCAATCCAAGGATTCAGTGGGTGGCTTGGCCTCTGTCAGGTCTAGCCTCGAGGCACGCAGAATTCCTGCAGCAGTTGCAGACACAATTCTGGCTTCGAGGCAGGATTCACAAACGCTCAGTATGAGGATAGGTGGTCCCGCTATGCGCCGCTGGTGTTCAGATAGGGGGATTGCAGATCCCTTTTCTGCGGATTTAGTCCGAGTATTGGAGTTTTTGCAAGCTCGTTTGGAAGAAGGCCTGGCGGCTTCGACCATTCTTGGCTACTCCACCGCTATTTCCACTTTTCAAACCCCTGTCGATGGTGCTCTTCTGGGGCAGCACCCTCTCGTACAGCGCTTTTTAGCTGGCGCGGATCGGGTTCGACCCTGCTGTCAGGCTTAACCAGCCCACCTTGGGATTTGTCAATTGTGCTCGATTGGCTGTCCGTCCAACTTTCTCACACCTATCGGCTATTTCCATTCAGTTGTTAACTTGGAAGGCTGTTTTCTGGTGGCGGTAACATCTGGGCGTGAGGGTCGGCGATTTACATGCTATGTCGTCCGACCCGGGCGCTGACTGTGTTTCACACTGATCGTGGCAGTATTCGGCCTCGGATACGTGCATCATCGGCGAAGGTCGATCACGCTTTCCATGTGACAGCTCCTATCGAACTTCCCACTCTTACCCAGCCTTCCACATCGGGGACCTCTGCAACGAGCACTCACCTGTTGGATGTCCGTAAGACACTCAAGGTCTATCTCAAACGAACGCAGGGAATCCGTACGGGTACCCAGCTGTTCTGTTGTTACGGTGGCGGGAAGGCTGGTGTGCCGGCGAGCAAGCAGACTTTGTCTCGCTGGCTAGTTTCGTGGTATTTGTGCTGCTTATCAGGCTAAGGGCAAGCCTCCCCCTGAGGGGTTGAAGGCTCACTCGGTCAGGGCAGTAGCCGCATCAAAAGCTTTTGCATCGGCACTCCCCATTGAAGAGATTCTGCTCTGCCGCTATTTGGAGCCTGCCTAGCACGCTTATTCGGCATTATCACCTCGATACGCATTCCCGTAATCGTGCGTGAGTGCGAGTTTTGGCCGTTCTGTTCTCTCCAGTGGACAGTGTCCTGCCACTCTGACCGAGTGAGTCTTGGTTCATTGGTTTGGTTGACGCTGCTGTTCAATACTGAGTTTTATTGACATATCCGCTTCTGGGAGCTAAATAACCTCATTCCGATCCTCTACGGAGTATTTAGGTCGGTTGTGAGCGTTTTGACATTCCCCCTACGGTGCTCACTAATCGACACAAGGTGGGTGGGGCTTTGTTTACCTTTCGCACCATGTGCGAATTACTATGCGAACCTCTGAGGTCGTCTTTGAGTACAATCCTCCCTGTCAGTTCCCCTCCCATAATGCCTCTCCCGGAAGCGAAATCTGGGACATGTGACAGGTGAGTGTTATGGCGTCTGTTACATTATTCAATTAACGATAGCTATTTGTATGTGCTTGGACAGAATTCCCTCCTCCCTGGCCTCCGGTCTTTGGGAGTCTGTGTTTATGCATAATATGTACCCCAAGGGCGATCTCTATGAAGAAGAATTAACCAAACCTGAAGAGGTTTTCAATTCTTCTTCAAGAGAGTCGCCCTGGGTAGGGCCTCCCGCCTCCCCGCAATTCTGTTCACTGATTTATTCAGCAGAAGGAATGATGATACGGGCCTAGGTGATTACCGAGTTGGTGCGCATGCTCAACGGGAGGTAACTCCACGAGGTGGGGGTCGTATAATAAATAAAAAAGTTTATTTATTGTACAATCTTTTTATTCAAAAACATTGATACAACTGTCACAGGACATTTTCAGCGTGGAAAATGCATAATATGTACTCCAAGGACGACTCTCTTCGAAGAATTGAAAACCTCTTCAGGTTTGGTTAAGTTTTAAGCATCTGAAAAACCATGGATATGTACAATAAACACTATTAATTGCAATCCGCACTGAATTTCACTAGCTTACAACGTGATTAACCAGAGCTCAACAGCGAATTTGTTGACGTGCTATTTTCGATGACGTGAAGATGTGTGATCGCTGGGCAGTTTAACCGAATCTGCAGTATCGTGAAGAGCGTTATTGCGAGGGATGACTATTCATTCACGAAACTTTGCACCCAAACTGATCAAGTTGTCAGATGATGCCTTTTGATACTTACGATTTTTTAGAATTTTTAATTTTCCGGTAACCATGGCAACAAATTGTTGACAGTTGACAGGGATGTATTTTTATGGCTTATGTCTAAAACTACCAGCATTTCTTGAAATTACCACTTCCTAAACTGGTATTTGAAAGAAATTTAGTTGTTTTTGCAACTTGATTGATGTTTATATTTAGGTAACTGTGCTATGAATAAGTAGTTCTGTCAGTTGGACATATGACTCTTGTAGGACTTGATGATTACCTCGTGGGAGACAGTGGGGGTTTGTCATCCCTTGATGACTCTTCTTTTGTTTGAGAGATGATTTCATCTCTCATTTTTCATTGTCTGTTTTACACTATTTCCTGTTGTCAATTTTTATATTGATCATTCATTTGTGGTTCAGTGTAACCCAAAGTTTTACAATATCCAAAGATGTCATATTGGGTTTACTTGCCTTCATATAAGAACATGTCAGTCCATGACTGGCATTTCAGTTATATTCAAGTTCTATAGGACATTGATAGTCAAGTGGAGGCCAGGGCTTGTCATTGCCAATGTCAGGTCTTGGTAACACCAGCTTATCACATCCAACAGAAAAGCACATAATCTGAGCCTGCTTCGGTTGAAGTGTCAACACCAGGACATGCCCAGTATCAGCACTACAAGACACCAGCCTCTAGGTGCCTTTCTGCTGTCAATACCACTACCTTGTATACCCAGGGCTCTGTTTCACAAAGTTCTCGTACTGTAGCGCTACGATAATCGTAAGTCACGATGGTTATGATATTTTAAACTTACGAGAGCTTTGTGAAACGGGGCCCAGGACTCCGGTTCCCAGATATAAACACACTGAGTAAAACTCAGTCATGGTTCTTGGGCCTGGGAAATGCAAAGTACATTTACGCCAAGATCATTGTCACTGCATGCTTAGAACATTTACAAAGAGGTTCCTTTTTGTAAGACAGGAGGATCGATCCCATAGAGGTGATACCTCAATTCATCACATTTTCATGAACAGCAAATACATTACAAAGCTGCATCCGTCATGTCAGTCCCAGCAGTTCCTTGGTCCAGCACAGTGCCAGATGCAAAAGCCATGTAGTGGAGCTTTAGACCTCAAGGTCAGAAGCTTTCAGTCCACCAGTATGACTACTGTACATCGCTGTCTATGACACGAGTCTGCCCGAAATTTGTGTAGTTTTATATACTCCATATATTCTGCCAGTCAGAAGAACATCAGTTGAGCTTACACACTTGTTTAAATCTCCATTTGCTGCTTTGCAGGGTATTAAAATGGACTCCGTCCGTGCGTGCGTGCGTGCGTGCATCCGTCCGTCCCTCCGTCCATCCAAGCACATTTGTATTTTCCGGAATAGAACTCTAAAACTGTTCAATATTTCTTCACCAAACTTGGCACATAGATAGATCTGGTGGTGTACTGGTGCCTTTTGGTTGTTTTGGAATTCTGAATAAAATATTTTTGGCGTTTCCATGGCAACAAGTTTGACTTAGACTGAAATTGGTGATAGATGGTGGTGTACTGGTGCCTTTCTCGAGTTTTGGAGAATAAAATATTTTTACTTTCCAAAACAAGTTTGACTTCTGAATATAGTGCTCTTTCTGGAGCAGAACTTTCAAAACCTTTCAATACTCTCCTTCAACTTTTCTATATACACACCTAAATATTTGACATAATCATAACTCATAGACATAATCATGAAGAGTATTTTGCCATTGCAGGGGATATTGATGACTTTGTCTTGTTTAAATCTGAATAAAAACATGTTTGCTTTGTTTTTTCATGCACCCATGCACCATCCATTTTGATGCAGGGTTGGCCCTAGACATCTTCATTTTGGGAGTCACTATGACGCTCAAATATATTTTAGGATGTTTTTGGTGAAATGGACAACAGCTATTATCTAAGGGGGATGCCACATTTTATGTATTCTTATATACATATCCAAATTCATTTAGATTTGAAGATTTATCAGAGTTGATGATGTATATGTCATCAGTCGTTTACTACAATCAAGGGACCAAGCTTTGTACGTCTACATGGTTCAGCTTGTTAGGCCCATCTTTTCCTCCTTCAATACCACTTGAAGCACTTGCTCACATGTTCTCATTTGCTGATCGGGGTGATGTGGTAGCCAATTGGTTAAAGCATTCATTTGTCACGCCGAAGGCCCGGGTTTGATTCCCCACATGGGTACAATGTGTGAAGCCCATTTCTGGTGTCCCCTGCCGTGATATTGCTGGAATAAAACAGTGTAAAACCATACTCACTCTCTTGCTGATCTCACTTTGTTTGTAAGGATTCCTTGTTTGACTCGTTTCATTATCTCCATTTATTGCCTGGAACAACTTGATGCAGGGATGATAATTTTCCGTAGAATTCTGGGAATTTCATAAGGCCAAGGGTCATTTTTGTGAATTGTCTAAATCTGTTGACAATTGTATGAATGTGCTTCAGCAGATTTAAGGTTTTTTAATCATTGCTGTGGTCATGATCTTGTCATTTCCTGAGCCAGTTTTAAAGGTCTAAAATGCCTAGATATCAGGAGTTTTTCTCAAAATTTCATTCTCATCCCTGTTGATGTGAAGATATTCCTCGTTCCAGGGAGCTCATCGAGAAGCATGGTGTGTGTATACGAGTCTTGGGGAACCTCGTCCTGCTGCCAACTGATGTTCAGAAGACTATTGCAGAGGCAGTGGAGCTGACGTAAACACAACAATAGGTAGGCCACACACACTGGCACACATCTTCACAAATGCACACATTGTACACACTGTGTAATAAGCACACTGTTGCGAACTGCTGCAAGAATACTGTTGAGATGTGAGGACATAGTACCAGTGTATGAAATAAGGCCCGTCCGACCGCCCGAGATGAGCTAGATTTCTGCCGGATCGTCAAATTTTACAGATAGCCAGCCTGATGGACGGGTGAAAAAAAATTCAGATAACGTGTCTGTTGGCACTGTCTATTTAGTATTTAAGAAGGACTGGTTAAATCTCTTCTGGGCTGGTAAGTTTTTAAAGTTACCAGCATAGATGTCTGTCTGGGTTTTTGGCTTATTTCATACACTGATAATACTCATTATACACATGCTGGATACAGTAATATATTGTCTGTAAGCTGTATGCTTTAGTCTATGCTGTACACATGTATACTGTAATGCATACATTGTCAGTTGCCATAGATACTCCAAATAACAAACATGGTATGTATCATGAATGTAGTTTGGAGGACATGGATATTCACGAATATGAATATATATAAAAATGTGCTTCAAAAACATTGCTTCAAAACAATTGGTAGAAACAACAAAATATTTCTGTTATCAGTGGATGATTATTGAGTTATGAATTGTTTTTGTAAACAGAAAACCATTCCACCAATTTAACAGTAAAGTTTGAAAGAATACTGATAAGTACAGATTTATAGCCAATCAGATCGCTGGCTCTTATTTCAAGCTTCTGAAGACCTTAGCTGCCAAAGTACAGCTTCATTTTTTGCGATCTATGTAGGTCATTTGTGGGTAAATGTATTGGCCTGAATGGCATGTATGGTTTTATAGGGTATAGACTGTGGGTATAAATGTAGTTGAATTTGTCCTGTCCTTTGTTGATTGTTTTGTTGACCCTTTCCGTTCATATAGTGTAAAGACTGTGTTAGTGACAATATATACCTTGATTCCATTTTTGTTACCCGCCGCAACACGGAACGGGGCACTATGTATTCAGCAGCATACAGACATACGTCCCGATTCTTGTTAATGCGATATCTCATGAACTGTTTAACCCAATGTCTTCAAATTTGGTGACAGCCTACATTGGGGGATTATGCAGACACCAGTCTATTTGGGTGACTTTAACCTTATCTTCAAGGTCACCATGACACTTTGGCCACTTTTCAAACTTACGTAAATGCGATGACAATGTAATGAATATATGTTTTTGAAATAAAACTCATTTTGGCTCTGTACTTACAATGTTTATTAATGCAGACTTGATCTCGTCACTATATGGCTGGAATAATGCTGATGTGACGTAAAGCCCAACTCAACTCAACTCAACTCAACTATGTAAATGCAATATCTCATAAAACATTGCACCCAATGTCTTCAATTGTGTCGACAGCCTACATTGGGTGATTATACTATGCCTAATGTTCGTTTCAAAGAAAGTTCATGGTGAGATGGTGTTCTTACACGAGTTTGCAAAAACAATGTAAAGAATATTGACTGAAATCTTGAATATATTTAATACAGTGGATGACAAAAGTAAGCCAAGATGTACATTGAACACTTCTATGGCCAGATACTCTAATAACATGACTCACTTGGCTAGTCCAGTACAGACGTTTCGACATCCCTTTTCCACTTATCCATCCCTTTTAAAGTATGAAGGCATTTCCTATTATCGCGGTACTTGCGGATATCAGCTGAAAACATAACACAAACAATTCCTATCTTATGAATGCTTGTAGTTTTCAAGTGAAGGGCCCTCCTCTGACATCTGCATCTATCAGCAGCTAGATCCATCAGGTGAATTACCTCTTGTGAGCCCGGTGATAGACAATGCCATCTGCCATTGACAAAATGAGGCTTCTCCCATTCTCGCGGTATAACAATAAAGTAATGTCTGGAGTGCATGGAAGTGCAATATTAACTCACCAATATTTGTGATTTTGCAAGATTTGGATCACTTGCAGACTTGGGCCACTTCCTTGATACCAGTCAGCCAGGTTAACAACCGCTTGGTATCACGAATCGTCGATATCGGCAGAGAACGTGTTTACTGCGAGAATAGGAAACCTGTGAGAATATATCTAAGATAATGTGTTCACATTGTAATGCCTGCGCACACGCACGCACGCACACACACACACACACACACACACGCACACACACACACACACACACACACACACACACACTCTGGAAATGCAATAAACTCATCCACTGGGTGTGATCAATGTGTCATGGTTCCTTAGAAAAATAACTCAAAAACATTATTTGCTCTGAAAGAAAGAAAAAACTGACAGACCCCACACAGAGTTGTCAGTGAAAGTTATGTGGAACAAGAGGCTACAACAGGGTTCCCTTTCCAAAGTGGGACTATGTGTTGCATAACTGCAGTTCTTGCACAACTCTTTCCACCGAAGTTTGACCCACCATGATGTTGCTGGAATATTGCTAAAAGCGGCGTAAAACCAAACTCAGTCAGTCAGTCCACCGAAGTTTGAAGGTGTCAGAAAATTTTGAGAAACACTTGACTTTTTGTGGCAAGTTATTGGAGGAAATCTTGTGAGCAATCGCATAGCTTACAACCTAAAGATAAACTGATGTCCAATTATTTGCCGGAATGGGTGAAGCCTTTGGGGTTTGATGATATCTCAAAATCTCAACCAGTTTGTGACTTGTGCTATGTCAGCAGTAGGGACATTTGTCGCTTTTATCTAATGTATGCGTGCAAATCTTCACTTTGATAAAATTTAAATACAGTTTGTTATGGTGGGGGAAAAGCATATTTGTTAATGGGGACAAAGTTTTGATAAGGCACTTGTTTGGTCGGTTTCACAGTTTTTGACAAGTAACACAAAGCACTGATTTCAGCTGAGCTCTGCTGATCATGGGGTGTCTATTTGTTATAGTCAGTGAGTAAAATGAAATTATTTATCACCTAAATTGTGTCACATATTTGTCCATTTCTAAATTATGATAACAACTAATTTGATGTTTAATTTTATCAATCAGTGACTGAAAATGATAGGAGAGAAAGGAAACGAAACTCAATGTACATTGTTGTATTTCTTGACCTCCTATGACTGGCTATCGATCTAGCTTGTAGAGATCAATGATCACAAACTAAATATTGATCAAATATCAATAAGTATGAGTGATTTAAATTTGAGCAAAAATATGTGTGATAATGGTTGGAAATTCTTTCCAATCAACAATGTTCCTAATCTAAGATTGACAAATTACCCCAGCCACAAAAAATGCCAAATGGTCAACTTTGTCAGGTAATTTGAATAATGCGACAACTGATTGTACCTGTAGTAAATTCTGTACGTAGTATCAAGTGAATGATGATAAATACACATCTCTATCAGGGGTATTTCAAAATGACAGTATCTGATGGGCATCCATTCTACTTTTGTCCTGTTTGGTTAGGTAGAAGAAATTGACAAACGTGCCCTTTGTAATATTGAAGTCAGTGTTAGCAATACATGTACAAAGTGCCTCAGAGTTTAATATCCACTGTCCTAACAGACGGCAGTCCAGTTCCTTGCACACCAAGCAAAGAAATTGACTTACAGCAGCAAAAGAGTGAGTGATCTCAAGACAACCAGGTAGATAAGTGCCCATTTAAGCACCAGCTACATGACGGAGATGTTTAATATTTTACCAAAATGGAAGTCAAGGTACACCATTGAGAGCCTAGTCTATTTATCAGAAGTTCACAAGCATAGTCAGGTGCATTGAACCCAATGGCATCGGACCTCCATCATCAGGAAGACTGAAGCAGCTATTTATACGGCAATGTTTTTCAGTCCACTGGTCACTAGTTGCAACAATTTGAATGTGAAGAATTCAGATTCGTATGTTAATTTTGTCAATGATTTATGTCTCCTCACACTTGCATCCAGCACAAAGCATATATGTGGGCATGTTATGATGGAATCAAGAGCAAGGAGGAAATACTGTTTGTTCAGCTAGAGGTATATTTAGCCATGTTAGATGCCACCTCATTCAGCTGCTCTCAGCCATTGAGGCTGTTGCCATTGCTATTTATAGCACAGCTCTGCTCTACTGAGCGTCATCCGAAACCGAATGATTCATGAAGATATTGACTGCAGTGCGATAAGATAGGATTTCCCACCCACATCATACATTTAATACCAACAGTTTAATTTCAGTTTTTATTTGATTTTGTGTTAAGTTCATAATTGTATTGGAGATCTCACTCAGCTTTTGCCCTTGCCATTGTCAGTGTGGTAAACTGATCCTTGCAGGAGTGTGTTATTGATTTTTAACAGGGCATAGCTGAACATAAGTCTCACGTTTGTATCTTTGACAGTTGCCATGGTAATTCTCAGATCTGAATTGAAGTACTTAAGAAAATTGTTCATCACATTTCTTTCCATTGTATAGGATGTGTATTAGTCAGTGACCCTTTTATTTCTATGCATACCGGGATCGAAATAGCACATAATTTGTGTGCCATGGCAGGGTAAATTTTAAAATGGCACAAATGAAATATTTTCAATGTGCCCAGGTGGCACAATTAAAATTATAAAAATAATACTGACCATAATTCATTTATTGAAAAATGCAATAAATTTGACCAACTCAGATGATTCAAAACCTACTTTTTCAACCCATCAAACTGTTTATCAGTGGTCTCAATAGTTTAACATAGGCATGGCATAACAGGGAGTCCAATTTTGGATGATATCATATTTTGCGAGTTAGTTTATGGGTCCAGGACAAATGAAGCAGAGCTATTCTTACAGTCATGATAGTGTTCAGGAACTCCAGGTCTCAAGTTTACGGGATTACATGATGTTTACTGATTATTATTTTCCGCCACAAAGAGAGGGGAACATAGGTTTGAGCTCCATCCCTCCATCCGCCTGTCCGAGATGATGGGGACAGATTTTCTCAGAAACCGTTATATATAGGGAAACCATATTTGGTATGTGTTTTCAGGACATGAATGTTGTGGT